CGACTACTCCACCTAGGCTGCATTGTGGAGCACAGATCCACTGAGAAACTTGCTGTTTCAGCAACATTTAATTTAATATTTTATTTCAATAAATTACAAGTTAAAAGGGACATGGACATTTTTCTTTTTTGTATCGAAAAAATATTGAACTGCGAGACTAAAGTATTGAACCGAACCGAATCGTGAGTTTTCTGTATCGTTGCAGCCCTAGTGGCTATGTATGCTGCATTTTTGGGAAAATGTAGTCAGTGAGTTTAATTAATTACTTTGGTGATTTTACTACTACCTTTACTTCCTGTTATCTTCATCTTCGTCGTCTTTTTCGCCAGAAAACATCCGGTTGTTGATCACGTGACTCTCGTGATGCAAAAAAAAGTGTTTCCATTGCAGTTTTGCGAAATACATCAATATCGATACGGCCGAAAAACCACCTCTTCCTAGCGCAAAACCATTTTGTCGAAAAAATGAAGTTTTGTCGAAACTGACGTTTTTCCATTGAGCAAATTTATTTTCGAAATTCTAATTTCCATTTTCAAGGTCAATGGAAACGCAGCTACAGTTAGCTGAGGCTCCTCCTCCTTGTTCTCATCTCGTCAATAACTGATCCGAGGGCGGTAGCCGACACGCCAAAACGCAGAGGGAACCTGAGCAAGCCTTAATATGTGACGAGTTGGGGTTGAGAATGCGTTGGGATTATGAATCCAGATAAATCCATAATAAGTGAAGTGAAACTGGAACAGAGTGTCTGACCGTGGCAGCTGGGTTTGGTCGTCTCTGGCGTGGCGCCGCCGTGACTCTGCGTCTGTTTTTCTAGCTGCGTCTCCGTCGTGGTTCCTCCTCCGGCCTGTGTGGGCAGCAGTTTGTCCTCTGCTTTCCTGCTCTCTCTCTCCACCTTGATCCGCTCGTCTCCGTCCCTCGCTCGTCCGGGCCGTAGCCTCTTAGCGAAGCGGCTGGGAAAAGACGCCAGGCGCCTGGAGCGCCGAACTGAGAAAGAGCCACCGGCCTCGGCCGCCTCCTCTGAGCCCAGCGCCGGCTCGGAGGAACAGCTTCTCCTGTCGGGGGAGGAAGAGKCTTTGCAAAGCTCTGGTTTGGAGCTGGGGGTGCGGGCTGGGGGCGAGCTGTTACCCGGGGCGGGAGGAGCAGAYGCTGCGGCCCTGTTGGGGCTGTGGGAGTGGGCGTAGGGTGGGTTGTGCAGTCTGTAAGGCTTGCTCACATCGAAGGAGCTGTTCTGCTGCAGGAGCTCGCGGAGAAGGGAGTTGGCTTTTATCTCCCTCCGCCTGGTGAAGGGGAGCCTCCGGGGGGCGCCGGTACCGATCTCGGACAAAGTGGCGACAGTCCGAGCGGCGGCCACCACGACCACTCTGCTGTGAGAGTTTGTAGAGGCGGAGCGGGACGCCTCAGGTCTGGCCCGGGGCCTGGGGGCGTCCCGGTCCTTGCGGTCACAGCCCCGCTGCTTGCGCACGGGCAGGCAGTAGGTGTGCATGTAGGTGATCAGCTCCACCACGGACTGCAGTTCGTTCTCTGAGCTGAACTGAGGCGCAGCCGGCTCCGTGGGCACGGCGGMCGCAACCGCCGCGCCTTCAACCTCGCTGCCGGAGGACTCCTCCTCCTCCTCCCCTTCCTCCTCCTCCTCATCCTCCTCCTCCTCCAACTCACTGTCCTCGTCCTCGTCTTCCTCTTCGTCCTCGCCTGCCTCGGGACCGGGGTTGGCATCCGCGTCCTGCGCGGTGGTGAGGTGGCGGTGCAGCTCGGTGCACAGACGCCCTGCGGGGCGCACCGCTCGGGGCTTCCGCTTCTGAGGGAGGTCGCTCTGGAGGTGACGACAAGAAAATGAACAGTTTCAGATCCTTTTAATAAGAAAGAATATAAGAATAATATATAAGATACAAACATTGTTTGCTGTGATTTGATGATTTTATGTGCAGCCGATTTATTTTTAGGGTTCCTACAGCTTAAATTTATGTTGACTTAAAGAAAACATTCGACACGATTGACCACAGCATTCTACTTRAAAAACTAAATAAATATGGGATTAGAGGACCAGCTTCACAATGGATAWGCAGTAATTTGGAAAACAGGAAACAGTTTGTACAAGTACATGATGTCAGATCTGAACTATGTGCAATCAAATGTGGAGATCCTCAAGGTTCTATACTTGGACCAAAGTTGTTTATCTTGTWTGTGAATAACTTGCTTAATGTGTCAGGGCTCTTTAAATGTGTTTYATTTGCAGATGATACCACATTTTTTTGTTCAGGTAAAAACAGAGAAAATGCAAACAGAATTTGTGAAAATACAAAACTGGTTTAAACTTAAATTATCACTCAATTTGGTTAAAACTAATTACATGATATTTACAATGAGCAAAAAAAACCTGTTAATACTTCATTTAGAGTTGGTGTGGAGATTAGTAGAGTCAGTGAGGTCAAGTTTCTGGGTGTTATTATTGATGAGAAACTGACGTGGAAACCTCATATAAATTATTTAAGAATAAAACTAGCTAAATCTATTGCATTGCTTTACAATGTAAGGGACTTGTTTAATGATAAAGCTCTGTATTTGCTATATAACGCATTAATTGTTCCACACTTGGTGTGGGGTAAAGCATGTAAGACAACCACACATCCTGTTTTTATTTAGCAAAAAAAAGCTATAAAAGTCATCACTCGAAAACATTACCATTATCCATCTAATACATTATTCTGTAAACTGAAATTATTGAAATTTTATGATTTGGTTGATTACAATATTTTGTTATGTATAAGGCTCACCTTAACACATTACCTATAAACATCCAGAAAAACTTTACAAAGAGAGAGGGAGCTGTTATAATC